GGATGTAAACACATAGCATGTTGCTACCGCGACACTAGCGCTCATCATCAGAGGAGACGTCGGCGTCTTTTATCGAGGCTTTCGAGTGACCTCATACTTAGGAGGGGCTACGTTTGCTGTGTTTTTAGGAAATTGTAGTCGGTGAGTTTACTACTTTCTTTTACAACTTCTGTGATTTTACAACTACTTCTACTTCCTGGTATCTTCTTCTTCTTCGTTTTTTTTCGCCAGTAGAAACAGCCGGTTGTTGATCACGTGACTCCAGTGATGCGAAAAAAGTGTTTCCATTGCAGTTTTACGAAAAACACCAATTTTGATACGGCCGAAAAACCACCTCATCCTAGCGCAAAAACATTTTGTCGAAAAACGTATTATTTTTAAATTGATGTGTTTCTATTGAGCAAATTTATTTTCAAAATTCTAATTTGCGCATTTTCACGGTCAATGGAAACGCAGCTATTGTTGGTTTTGGAGTGGCGCACCAGAACCTAAAAGCCACAGCAGAACTTTAGGACTTGTCCACTCTGCTCTTAAATTTATATTCAGAAATTAAACATATCCTGAAAGATTTTCAAGAACAATCTTGGAGATTATACGTAGGGACAGGGGGGCATTGGCCTGCTTTGGTCCCCACTTTGAGCTCTGCGTTGGTCATTAATGCATTCCTTTTGCCACATTATGTTTTTGAGTGTCTAAACTGAGTGGAGAATCAAATCCATTGACAGTTGGTGTCCTACTTTATTGTACTATTTGTGTTKGCAACATTGTCCCATTTGCAGCTCTCTCTGGCCAGCTGCTGAGATAAAACCAGAACTCAATCTGGGTCCAGTTCTCTAGAAAACACCATTCTTCCTTTATCACAGCACACGGTCATTTAAACTGGTTTGTTTACTGTTGTTGAAGGAAGCTTTCAGTCATTGATAAAATGTTTCAGTGATACACCCACCCCCAGCCTCTTCTATGTTTAATTACCCCCCTCAGACGCACATCCCTGAGTCAACACAAATTAAGAAGTGGGACAAACGCTTGCTGCATGGTCCACTAAATAGGACGGAACACAATTCACTAACTGATGAACAACATTTGGGAAATCTAGGAGCTGATGAAAAGCTTGAGCACTCTGCGGCAAAGACTCTTTTCTAGTCAGAAACTCTTTCCTTGGAAAGATAAGAGCGGAGTTTTATCAGAYATCTCTGAGAGCGTCTGTTGATCCAGGATTAATTTTCTGTCTCAGATGAGCTCGCTGAGAACACGCCTCTAATCAGAAATAATACTTGGTTAAGAATTATGACTCAATCAGTGCTGGTGAGAGGAAATCAGCATTTCCGTCCCTCACAAATGAAGATAGCACGTTGACAGTGCAGCGATTTTCTTCACTTGAGGTGGAAAAAATGAACTTCAGATCAACCTCTAACAGAACAAAGCTTTATATATAAATAAACATTTATTCAGCAGACAGAACACGTCACCATTTTTCTCAGTAAATATATTACTAGAGGTGCTAATGACATGAAATTTTCACCAGATGTTGGTAACAACCCA